TGTGTGATCATGAGGGGCTGAGTAACAACATGAAGGAGAGAAATGATATAGTAATGAAGAAGTGTGTTGCCCCACATCCCCTCCTGCTTAAAAGAAAAAAAAGCAAACTGTTAATTTCTGCAGTGAAAGAGTTTTTAATCACAATACTAAAAGTAAATAAAATGGGAACTGAAATCAAGTAATTCAAAGCTATATTATCATACATTTTAAAAATAACATAAGCATGGTTTAAATCCTAAAGAAATGCCGAGGGAGGAAAATTAAGTTTATTTAATTCCCATAACTACATAATTAGCATCCCTGTGGCACAACTTAAATCAAGATTTTTAGTAATTTTTGTCTAAATAGTTTGCACTGTTAGAATCCAACCCCCCACCACACACAGACACACACAAACCTCCCATAAAAATAGTTAACAGGAAAGTAAACTGTGAAGAAATAAACTCCTGGGGAATAGTGATATTATACAAAACCTTCAGAAGACAGAATACTGGACTAGATGGACCATTGGTCTCATGCCATATGGCTGTTCTTATGATGAGCACAAGCCACAATATTGGATCATGTGGAAGAACAAGTTCCTTGTGAACTGGAGATGCTTGCTCATGTTTGTAGCTTTTCAGGAGAAGGCCATGTCGTCCCCGAAAGTGCTCGTGAAAGCAATTTAAATGACAGAGTCTGGGGAATGATTGCTATGTCTTCTGTGTCAATGGCACAGGCAACAGCCCTGACACTGACAACTTTCTAAATCACATGAGCTCTCTCTGCTTACACCTCTTAACCAGGTGTAAAATATGGTCACAAAGTTTCTGCGAAATCTTTTTCTGAAGGAAATTTGGGATCTTAATAAAAGGACGATTTCAAGCAAATTATCAGCTTTCCTTAAAGGTTTTGCTTTTTTTAATGGAAACCCTAAAAAATTACAATATAATTTATTATTTGCATTGTGCAATCAGTTAAGATCCCCGGTCATGGCCCAGAAGTCCGTTGTGCTAGGTGCTGTACAAACACTGGATGAAATGATTGCTCTGAATGGCTGAAATGTAACACTGATCCCTGTCACGTCCCCGACTCTGGCTCAGTTGCCTCACTGCATCAGCCCTTATTTACACCAGCACCTTCATTGCATTTAATGGTGCCACTTTCCTGATTACAGGTTACTCACAGGAGTCAGGAGCGCAGGAGATGCTGGTGCCGTATTTACCACAGGCCTGACAAAATGGGGATCTGAGGAGCAACCACAGCCATCTCCATGGGCAGTTAGGAGAGGTAGCTGGGCTGGGCCAGGCTGCAGAGGGCTGTGTTAGGTCACCCATAACCAGAACCTTCTCCAGGGGTGCTTGGAAGAGGCAGGGCTGGGCCAGGGCTGCAGAGGGCCGTCCCATGTCACCGATTGGCAGAGGAGCAGTGTTCAGCTGCGGGTATGGGCTAACGAGGAGAAAATGTGAGCGTGTCTCTCTCTTGCTTCTGGGAACCAAGAGAGCTGGAGGTGCCGGCCATTTACCCAGTGAGGCCTGAGCCCTCAGACAAGGGAGGAGATGGAGTCAGGGCAGAGGAAGCGTGAGGTAGAGGAGACAGTGAGTTCCTCTAGCCTTAACACTGTTGGTGCCTAAATACTGTAGGTGCCTAAATTTCTGCAGTAAGATATTCCCTGTGCAGCTGTTTCTGCTTGCACTATAGGCACCTGGATACCAAAGCCCCACAGTGATGCACAATCCAGGGGAAGATCAGCATCACGCCCCCTAATTCGCCTGTGGGGCCCAATAAGATAAGCGTGCTCAGAGCTCTCTTAGCAGACTGGGCTCTGGATGCAAACTCACGCACAAGACTCACGCAAACTCACGCACGTGGCAGGGAGGGGGGAAGAGAAGAGGAGAATCTCCCTAATAACTTTTAGCCCTGCAGTGAGGGTGCCCAGACCCCCACTTCCTAAGGGGCCAAAGAGATTTGAACAGGGATCTACCACCTCTCAGGAGAGTGCCCGAGTGACTGGGCCAGAGGCTCTCTTAATCTCTCCTGTTGAAGCTCCATGATGGATAAATACTTTGAAAAGAAAATCACTGGAGTTGGAGCACTGGATTTTTGGTCTCCCACCTCAGTGCTCTAACCACCAGGCTACAGTATGATCACCAGGATCCCACCAAGGGCAGTCAGTGATAAGGGTCAGAGCAGGGGCAAACTGGAGGCTGTGAGTAGCTGAGGAGTTCATAGTCAGTTCCAGCCTGGGGTTGACACCGACCGTCAGAGCCCAAGTCAGGTTTCAGGGTCCCAGTCAGGAGGGAAAAAAAAAGCTGAGGTCACGCCAGGACTCTAGAGCAAGGAGCAGGAACAGTCATGGCAACTACAGAGATCCACACTGTTGCCTGGACACTTCCTGGTCATGCACCTTGGGTTTATATAGGGCATGGAGCCAATCAGGAGTCACAGGGCTGTTGCCTGTCAAACGTTAAGGTGGAATTTCCCGTGGTCGGTATCCACAGCAGGTCATGGGAAGTGGAGCGCAGGCTGATTACCGCTGCTCCTGGGTGACAGCCTGGAACTGTTAGCTACCCTGGTAGCTCTACAGGCCTGGGCTCTAGACCGGTGGGGCCTTACAGGCATTCTCTTAGTGGTTGCTCTGTCTCTCTTTTTTGCCCACTGACACTTTATTTATTTATCCACAGTGGAATAGCTTCAACTGGATGTTGGATCATGTCCAAAGTGAAAGGAGAGCCATGGCCACTGGTTTCTGTGTAGTTAACTCCTGTTTTATTTATGCCAAGTGCAAAGAGTCTCATGCCTGCTCCATTTTACTGTTTGATATTTTCTCCTGCTCACTCTCACACGCTTCTTTACCTTGAGTTACACAGGCAGGGCTCATCCAACAGGGAAGGGATCTGGGACCATCCTCCATATTAGTTTACAGGGGTTCTCAAACTTGTTTTGCTGGGACCCAATTTGAAAATATTTCAGCTGTGATGACCCTCCCAAAACAATGACTACCCCCTATACCATGCCATTCTTACTTCTCCACTGCTGCTGGGGGCAGCGCTGCCTTCAGAGCTGGGTACCTGGCCAGCAGCTGCTGCTTTCCAGCTGCCCACCTCTGAAGAGCTTGGGCTGTCAGCCCCGTGCATGGCTGACAGGCCGATACCTGGCATGCACGGGGACTCACACCATGTGACACCCACATAATAACCTTGTGACACCCTGAGGGGTGACAATCCCCAGTTTGAGAACGCCTGATTTACAATAATATGAAGTGCAAAGGTCCTGAGAACAATCTGGGATCTTTATTCATTGGCTTTTCAAATAGAGTTCATTCACCTCACAGGGTGCATCTGAAAGCTCTGTGTCTTAACAATGTCATCTCTAGATGGACTGAACCCAGGAATGCCAGATCTGTAAGCACACACCGTACTGCCGGCACTAAAGAACCGGCTACCACAGATGAAAGTCTGCAGAAGACTCATCATTAAAATTGCGAGTCTTTCATGGAAGTCACAGAAGTCACAGATTCCATTATTTTCAAGGACCTCTATGACTTCTGCAGCACCCAGTGTGGCTGATACCAGGGCTGTCTGAGCAGCTGAGGAAGCCCTGGGGCCAGCCGCACTGGCTTCTGCTCGGGCAGCCCCAGGGGTTAGCTGCTTGCGCAGCTCCGGGGCCAGTGGTACTGGCCACTTATCGGGCAGCCCTAGGCAGCTGGCCCCAGGGGCTGCTGGAGCAGCACCAGTCTCGGGCACTGCCCCAGGGCTGCAGCAGGCTCCTGGGCCACCCCTCCAAGCAGCAGTGAGGCCCCAGTCCACACAGTCCCCTGAGCAGCAGCAGCGGTGCCCCAGAGTTCCTAAGATTTAGTAATATGTATTTATAGTGTGAATTTTTGTTCATTGCCCGTGACCTGTCCATGATTTTACTAAAAATACCCATAACTAAATCTCAGCCTTACTCATCACTTATATGTGGTATAGTCACTAGAGGGAGACAAACAGCCAGGCGGGGCTACCATGGGTTGTACAGTGCCCCTGGCTGAGGAAGCTTGTCCAAGCAGCACAGATCAATATCAATTTAAATCCCTCTAGGGGCCAGCACTTTGCCACTCCGTTTGCTCCTTCTCAACCAGATGGACTACGAGGATTGGACTTGAGATTCTGCAACATGTGGCTCTTCACACCATGAATATTAGAGTCTTCCTGTTCATATTAATACCCAGCTCCCATAAGAAGTTGAAAATACTGGACAGGATTCTACTCCCCATTATACCTTTGGACCGACTCCAAAGACTCCAGTGGAGCCTTGCTGGATTGGAAGAGGAAACTCACCATTACTCATTCTTCTTGTTTTCATTTTTATCTATGCTTTCAAAATCAGAATTTACCAGCAAAAAACTTTATCAAAATATTCTGTTGATCCAAAATATTGTTTTCTGTTAAAAATATTGATAACAATTTCAACATTTTCAATAATGTTTTCACGAAAAAACCCACACACACACCTTTGGAATAAAAATGACCCCCCCCCCCAAAACTAGTTTATTATTTTTCTAACCTGTCTATGTATAAAGTGTGATAAGAGCTAGGGGAGATGGCTTTTACCATAGGTGTCAGGTGCTTGTGCTTTTGCAGGCGATTTCTAGGATGGAGGCACTGTGTGCAAATGGTTTGATTCTATAGGCTTTATTGATTGAATGTGAATTGTGCATCAGGAGACAAGGGCATCTGTCATCACACAGAGCAGAGACTGACTGAGCAATAATTCACAACAGCAAGCAAAAAATGATTTATACCAAGAGAGAATTTTTCTTTGACTAATGCGCAGAATCAGAATTGCTGAACTAAAGTGCAATCAATTTAAGGGGTTAACTCACGAGCTAGGTACTAGTGCTTTCATAGCAGAAGCTGAGAGTCCTCTCCCCACTGTAATCCCAAATAATGACATTTTCCAGCCACGTGACAATTCTGTAGTTCTCAAAATCTACTGGGTGGCTTTAATGTATGTGGGGGATAGATGAGAAACTCTTCTTAAGAGCTTCTCTTCTTGCTGGAGTAAGCCACAATGTATTTGATCTCTTGAAGGATCTTGTCTTTGTTGTTCGACACATTCAGTCTTGCCGACTGGAGGAGTTTGGTGATGTCTCCCACATGGTAGAGACAGCGAACTGGGGTGAATCTAATTCTCCATTCTGTCACATAGGCTAAAAGCAAGAGAGAAAAGATGTGATTACATTTTTAGGATGATAATACTACTGTAGTGTCAATAACAACTAATACTATTATTTTGGTTGTGTTCTAGGGTTCCCAGGCCATCGTGAGAGGAATATCTTGCTTCCGAGACTTAAGGAGAAGAATCAAGTGAGGCTCATGTATGGGGAAAAGGGTTTCACAAATGCTCTACTCCTAATCCAAAAGCATCTGGATGTTTTGTCTACAGCGATCAGCAGTGACATAGTTAATATAGTTGAACTGTCATCTTTAGGGTTCAGAGTCAACAACCTCCTGAACTGAAATGGATACTTTTGCACTTTTCAGAGCTATTGAATCAGGTTTTCTACAGACTTGGAGACTTCCTTTAATTCTATCAAATTAATTCTCCTATTTTCCCTGCTTTCTACCCGTCCCTCAGCTATTCTTTTGTCTCTTTGCTTTTCTCAGTAGTGTCCCATATTCAGCATGTTTGTGAAAAAAACAAGGAGCAGATTCTGCTCTCATTTGCACTAAGGTAAATTAATCTAGAGTACAACCTATGCATCTACCTATCTAGGGATTTCAATGGAAAAAATGGAATTTCGGTGCCTAATTCCATTAGGCTCCCTTAAAAATATTGCCCCTGAGTTCTTATAAGACTCCCATCATTATAGGAACAGAGCAGCTAATGGCATGACACTCTGCATTCACAGTGGATCAAAAATAAAGAGAAATAGAACTTGTACAGAACATATGGGTGTCTGAGCTGGTGTAACTCACATGCCCAGACAGCTGAGAGAAGGTTACAGGTTTTCCCACTTTTAGACTCCTTTGCATTCCTTTCTGAATTTCTCTTTATATGCCAGACTCATCTCTTCATTGCACTAGTGTAAATCTACATTTATTCCTTCGACTTCATTTGTGTAACAGAGAGAAGATGTGGTTCCTGTGTCTAGACGGGAGCTAAAGAAAGAAGGTGCCTGATTCTGAGCTCAAGGAGTCATTTGATGAAACTGAAAATCTGTAAATGTAAAAATCATAAAAGCAAAGAGTTTTATTTATACACAACAAAAAATACCCTATGGGACTCACTGCACATAACATTAAAGCCAAGAGTACAGTAGGATTCAAAACACAGGTAGACATCTTCATGAATATTTTCAAGATTCACATTTAAATTAGTTAATATTTTTTAAAAAATGGAAGCGATATAGGCCAGATTTTGAAATGTATTGAGTTGTGGAAAGATAAAGATAGGCAACTGGTGAGATTTTCAAAAGCAGCTGAGTAGGTTAGGTGCCTAATTCACCTAGGCACTTTATAAATCCCACTAGGTGGCTACCTTCATCTGTAGACACCTACATACATTTAAAAATTTGGCTTAAAATGTTTAGAAATCAGAGCCAACCCCACCCCACCCCCCACAGAGTCTAGTGACAAACATCCCCTATGGCAGATAATTCTATAACTACATAATCTGTGATTTCTCACAACTTCCTCTTAAGCTTCTATTACTGGATACCCTCTTTAACATAGGATACTGGACTAGATAAATCTGACATTTTATCCCATTCCCTATGTCCCTTTGCTACCTTACCCCAGAGCAAACCAGACGCAGCAGTATTTAACTCATCCATGTAAGTGAAATGAGAGTGAGGTCAGTAGCCTTTAAGAAAATGGGTGTGACATGAAAGTTACCTGGACAATTCACTTTGTTGAAAAGTGGGAAGTGCATGACGGTAGGTGCACCCTCTCCTCTGAAGATGTAGCAGTCGGAGGGGTTATCTGGCTCTTGGAGCAATTTCTCGTCTATCTCAGGAAATGGGATGCAGTTTTCTTTACAGTATTTGGCAGTTTGCTTGAGGGCCTGTAAGTGAAGGTATCGTGATTATTTTATTGAAGAGAACTGCTGTCCACAAGACCAGATAGCTCAAAACAGATAGCTCAAAATCAAACTTTCTCTCTGAGTCCTCTACTAATTGACTACGCAGAAAACCTCCAGTGGAAACCATACCCTCTGCTCTTGGGATAGGAAGAATGTTTGTGTAGCAATGCATGACTGTCTACAAGGAAACCCCATAGCTGGGATTTCCAAAGAAGCTTAAAGGAGCATGAATTTATCTCCCAGGAAAAGTCAATATGGGTTGGACACTGAACTCACTTAAGAGCCTTTAAAAATCTCAGCCCACAGCCGTAAGCACAGATCAAACATGGCACACTGAGTTCAGTACCCAAGAACAGAGCTAGAAGGTTCACAGCAGCCCATAACTGTTCAACTGGGATAGATCTCAGTGGTTCAGTAGGACCTGAAGGAGCGCTCCATGTAAGCTTGAAAGCTTGTCTCTTGCACCAATGCTAGAAGGTCCAGTAAAAGAAATTACCTCACCCACCTTGGTACAGTAGGAGACATGGGTCAATATTCATCTCCAGTACTCGACACATGAATGCTCAAGGCTACCAAAGGTTCATCTTTCACTTAAGGTGAAAAACAGATTTCCTTCTTTAAGGTCACTATGAGGTATATTTTCTAAGGCACACATGGGAATGTGTTGTCCTGCTTCCATTGATTAAGTCACAAAACTGTCCATTGTGCATTTGAAAATCTCCTCCTGTAGAGAGCCATTGGGCCCTGGGACACCTCGCAAAAGTATTAGTGTTGACTCAAGTCGGCTGACCAACTTGCTACTTGGAATGTAGGATTCTTTCCACTAAACATTTCCCCAGCAGGTTAGAAGGGGATGGGATTCTTTGCTCCCTTCTTGTCCTGAACTGTTTTCCAGAAATAAAGTAAAGAAAATACTGTTAGATTTTTTTTTTTTTTAGATTGGAAATTTCTTTGTTGGATTCTTATCTCTTGGGGTCAGGGACAATGTATTTTTCTGTGTTCAAATATCACCTGGCAATGGCCCCTCATTCCTAATTTGAATGACTGTAGAAATGTAATAATGATAGGAGTTACCTTAAATGGTTCAAAAGGGCCATAGTCGAAGGAGAGGATCAGTTTCACTTTCCTTTCCAGGCGGAGAACCAGAGGGAAAGCACAGTTTATGGCTATTCCAGCATCTACCAAGGAGATGACTTTATCCTTCACCAGCTCAGCAGAGTCAAGAGCAGCTAAAGGAATGTATCCAAAAATAAAGTTTTCATACTAAGAAATTAGAATCTGCACCTTGCCAGTAGCAGGATTAATAAATAATATTCACTGCAGCGGTGCTTTGGTAAAGTGTGTGTATCTTCTGCCCTTAAAGTAGAGCCACCTCTTCCCCACCCTCACTCTCTGCTTCCCTTAGTGCCCATTGTACAGTATGGTTGCCCTTGCCTCACCCCTCGCCCTCTGCTGTCCCTAGTGCCCATTATACAGTATAGTTCTCTTATACTTGATCCTTCCATCCACTGGCCATTATACAGCACAACCACCACTTTCTCCTTCCTGCTATTTACAGGGCATCATTATAGGCACATCTGGAAGCAACACCTATCATTTAGGTTGCCTAACACTTCCCATTCCATGTTTTCAATTTTCTTATGAGTTCAGGGAATGGGGGGAATAGTATATAGCCATGGAATTAAAGCTCTATTATAATGCCGATGCAGACGGCAGCTTTACTGGAATTTCATGGGGAAGCTTAATTCATAGAACCATAGTATCATAGAATATAAGGGTTGGAAGGGACCTCAGGAGGTCATCTAGTCCAACCCCCTGCTCAAAGCAGGACCAATCCCCAACTAAATCATCCCAGCCAGGGCTTTGTCAAGCCTGACCTTAAAAATATCTAAGGAAGGAGATTCCACCACCTCCCTCAGTAACCCATTCCAGTGTTTCACTACCCTCCTAGTGAAAAAGTTCTTCCTAATATCCAACCTAAATCTCCGCCACTGCAACTTGAGACCATTACTCCTTGTTCTGTCATCTGCTACCACTGAGAACAGTCTAGAGCCATCTTCTTTGGAACCCCCTTTCAGGCAGCTGAAAGCAGCTATCAAATCCCCCCTCATTCTTTTCTTCCACAGACTAAACAATCCCAGTTCCCTCAGCCTCTCCTCAAAAGTCATGTGTTCTAGTCCCCTCATCATTTTTGTTGCCCTCCGCTGGACTCTTTCCAATTTTACCACATCCTTCTTGTAGTGTGGGGCCCAAAACTGGACACAGTACTCCAGATGAGGCCTCACCAATGTCGAATAGAGGGGAACGATCACGTCCCTCGATCTGCCGGCAATGCCCCTACGTATACAGCCCCAAATGCCATTGGCCTTCTTGGCAACAAGGGCACACTGCTGACTCATATCCAGCTGCTCGTCCACTGTCACCCCTAGGTCCTTCTCTGCAGAACTGCTGCCGAGCCATTCGGTCCCTAGTCTGTAGCAGTGCATGGGGTTCTTCCGTCCGAAGTGCAGGACTCCACACTTGTCCTTGTTGAACCTCATCAGACTTCTTTTGGCCCAATCCTCTCATTTGTCTAGGTCCCTCTGTATCCTATCCCTACCCTCCAGCGTATCTACCTCTCCTCCCAGTTTAGTGTCATCTGCAAACTTGCTGAGGGTGCAATCCACACCATCCTCCAGATCATTTATGAAGATATTGAACAAAACCAGCCCCGGGACCGACCCTTGGGGCACTCCACTTGATAGCGGCTGCCAACTAGACATGGAGCCATTGATCACTGCCCATTGAGCCCGACAATCTAGCCAACTTTCTATCCACCTTATAGTCCATTCATCCAGCCCATACTTTTTTAACTTGCTGGCAAGAATACTGTGGGAGACCGTGACAAAAGCTTTGCTAAAGTCAAGGAACAACACATCCACTGCTTTCCCCTCATCCACAGAGCCAGTTATCTCATCATAGAAGGCAATTAGATTATTCAGGCATGACTTGCCCTTGGTGAATCCATGCTGACTGTTCCTGATCACTTTCCTCTCCTCTAAGTGCTTCAGAATTGATTCCTTGAGGACCTGCTCCATGATTTTTCCAGGGACTGAGGTGAGGCTGACTGGCCTGTAGTTCCCTGGATCCTCCTTCTTCCCTTTTTTAAAGATGGGCACTACATTAGCCTTTTTCCAGTCATCTGGGACTTCCCCCGATCGCCATGAGTTTTCAAAGATAATGGCCAATGGCTCTGCAATCACATTCGCCAACTCCTTTAGCACTCTCGGATGCGGCGCATCCGGCCCCATGGACTTGTGCACGTCCAGCTTTTCTAAATAGTCCCGAACCACTTCTTTCTCCACAGAGGGCTGGTCACCTCCTCCCCATGCTGTGCTGCCCAGTGCAGCAGTCTGGGAGCTGACCTTGTTCGTGAAGACAGGCAAAAAAAACATTGGGTACATTAGCTTTTTCCACATCCTCTGTCACTAGGTTGCCTCTACCATTCAGTAAGGGGCCCACACTTTCCTTGACTTTCTTCTTGTTGATAACATACCTGAAGAAACCCTTCTTGTTACTCTTAACATCTCTTGCCAGCTGCAACTCCAGGTGTGATTTGGCCTTCCTCATTTCTCTCCTGCATGCCTGAGAAATATTTTTGTACTCATCCCTGGTCATTTGTCCAATCTTCCACTTCTTGTAAGCTTCTTTTTTGTATTTAAGATCAGCAAGGATTTCCCTGTTAAGCCAAGCTGGTCACCTGCCATATTTACTATTCTTTCTAGACATCAGGATGGTTTGTCCCTGTAATCTCAATAAAGATTCTTTAAAATACAGCCAGCTCTCCTGGACTCCTTTCCCCCTCATGTTATTCTCCCAGGGGATCCTGCCCATCAGTTCCCGGAGGGAGTCAAAGTCTGCTTTTCTGAAGTCCAGGGTCCGTATTCTGCTGCTTTCCTTTCTTCCCTGTGTCAGGATCCTGAACTCGACCATCTCATGGTCACTGCCTCCCAGGTTCCCATCCACTTTAGCTTCCCCTACTAATTCTTCCCGGTTTGTGAGCAGCAGGTCAAGAAGAGCTCTGCCCCTAGTTGGTTCCTCCAGCACTTGCACCAGGAAATTGTCCCCTACCCTTTCCAAAAACTTCTTGGATTGTCTGTGCACCGCTGTATTGCTCTCCCAGCAGATATCAAGGAATTCAGCAGAATTCTGAACTGTCCTAACATTTGAGTTCTTGACTTTACAATTTTAACATAATATTTAGAATATAATACTTTGGCTTGAAAGTATTAGATTTTATTGGTCAGTTACCATGGATTTCACTCTTTCTATATAAACCAGTGAAAACCTGTTTCCACTGATAATCAAAATTTACTGATAAACAAAATATGAAAAATGCTTCTTGAGAATTTAAAGTCAAAATCCAGTGATTTAGACTTTTGATTTAGGGCAGTTATAAAATAGACTAGAGAATTAACATTAAAAACCAGAATGATTTGTTGATTTAAGGATATTTAGTTTGTACATTTTGGCATATGATGTTGACAGTTTGTGTTTTAATGGTTTAAATAATCATTTGATTCTCCTCTTAATTTTCATCAACCATGAAGATTTAAATTGGTAAGACTAAAAAATGTTTAAAATCTATATTTTCATGCTACTGAAAATTTAAATTAATAAAAATCTTAAAAATACTTAAAGTAAACAATGACACTGTCTGTCAAAATTTAAAAATAAACATTGAATTCTTCTGACCGTAAAAATACCGTATAGGAAGACAACCCTTTCTCATGTTTCTGTGTGATGTATTTCCTGTCAGAACGGGACCCTAGGAAAAGGAGACATCCACACCACAGAGTCTGTAAACCCATTTTTTACTTACAGCATCTGTAAAGAAAGTTATTGTTCGTTCCCCATTTCCAGGTCAAGAGACCATGAGTGGTTTTTTGCCACATTCTTGCGAAATCCACCACTGAGTCTGTGAGAGGGCACAAACCAGAATTCAAATATCAGATCTATATATATATTCAGGAACTTCTGAAAACCAGCAGAGTTTTTCTTATCTCTTATTTGCTAGTGCCAACCAGGAGCTGTGGGAACAATCACAGCAGAGCAAAAGCTGTGGAATTTTCAGAATCCTGGATTCCCTCATTGTACCACATAATGACCCCCCCACACTTATCTGGTTTGAGATGTGTCAGCTGTCAAGTTCTCCCCTGTACAGAACACCTGATGGTAGTATAAACCATTTCCTATATTCCACTATGTAAGTTATGTGGCCCAGTTCCTTTAGCTGCTGATTTGAGCTGTGCAAATAACTGAATTTTGGTTTCACTGTCAAACAAACAATTGTAATTAAAAAATCCCAAATGATTTTTTTTTTTAAATTTCAGTGAAAAGAGAAAGAAAACAAAAAAATCATTGTATGTAGAATTAAATGTTTGGCTTTACTCAGAATGAAATATTTTATTTTGGTTTTTGAGTTCTAAAAGTTTTTTTTAAGTGAAATTGAACCAAATTTTTTTACTAATTTTCTTAAAAAACTGTTTTTATCCAAAAAATCAAAACATTTCACTTTGAAAATTTCAGTATGAAATATTTGGTGTGGTTTTTTTCTGATTTGTTTTTGTTGTAAAATAAACAGTTTCGCAAATTTGATGCAAATTCATGAAATATTATAATCATAGAATCTCAGGGTTGGAAGGGACCTCAGGAGGTCATCTAGTCCAACCCCCTGCTCAAAGCAGGACCAATCCCCCAGTTTTTGTCCCAGATCCCTAAATGGCCCCCTCAAGGATTGAACTCACAACCCTGGGTTTAGCAGGCCAATACTCAAACCATGGCTGACCCAAACGTGCTTTTTTCAGGAAAGAAAATTGAGCTGAAAAATTTCACCCCCTTCTAATGCTGAGTTCCCTCAACTCCCACTAGAATTGGTTTGAGCTGAGGAAACACAACCTTCAATTGTTAAACACTCAAAATCGTCAAAATCCAAATACGGCCCACTTATAATAATTTGGAGTCAATCTAAACATTTTGGTCAACACAAAATGGCTTTTAGATGCCTAAGTGCTTCTGAAAATACCACTAGGCACCTAAATATCTTTGAAAATCTGGTGCTATGTGACTTAGGGGCAAAGTCCCACTGAAAGTCAACAGGGTTTATACTCTGACCTCCTTTTCATGCCTTTTGAAAACTTCACCATATATCTGTCATGGTGCATCAGATCCACATCTCTAAGCAGAAATAATCACATTGCACTACCTGAAAAGGACATTTTAAAAACACAATCATTGATATTGGTGAAGGGGCCCAGAAACTTTCATAAAGGGCACGACAGAAAACCTGAACATAAACAAGGCTATTCCGGAACAGCTTTGTGCTGAGCAGACAATTTTCAAAAAATGACAACATAAAAATTATTATTCATGAGGAAGGGTGAACAAGAGCCGAGGAATTTGTTTAACTGAACAGTTCACTGGGCCTGAGTCTCTTTTCACAAAGATGCCAATAACTCCTCATGCAGCAGTGTAAAAGAGGAATTTCAAACTCAATCCACAGGGGATTAAAATAATTTACCTACTCCACCTTTAATGTTTTCAGTAATTGACTTGTTCTTCGTATCTGAAAAATATATTTGGGTTATCAATCACTGCATACTATCATTGACAATAATGCAATCACCTAGGCAACAACATTCAGGGTACAATGATTAAGGCCAAGTTTGCATTTCCTGCAGGTTGTAAGTATCATAAGAAAGAAAAAAATGGAAGAAATGTATGATCTGATATGCAGTATCTTCAATTCTCCTACTAGGCTGCGTCAATGTCTTGCCACTTTCTCCTTTAAAATATATAGACAATATATGGATGGATCTAGACTGTTCTCAGTCGTAGCAGATGACAGAACAAGGAGTAATGGTCTCAAGTTGCAGTGGGGGAGGTTTAGGTTGGATATTAGGAAAAACTTTTTCACTAGGAGGGTGGTGAAACACTGGAATGCATTACCTAAGGAGGTAGTGGAATCTCCTTCCTTAGATATTTTTAAGGTCATGCTTGACAAAGCCCTGGCTGGGATGATTTAGTTGGGGATTTGGTCCTGCTTTGAGCAGGGGTTTGGACTAGATGACCTCCTGAGGTCCCTTCCAACCCTGATATTCTATGATTCTATGATTCTATATACCTTCTAAACTTATCATTTGGCTAAAATCTTTTTCCCAGGATCCACCATCTATGTTCACAGTCACTGTGAGCTTCTCTATAGCTTTCCTAATGCACGGAGAGTGCCTGTCACGCCCCCCACCCCCACCCCCATACTACACTGCAAACTGTCCACATTTCAGTTGCTAAAATGACCTTTCTTTGCTTGTGGTTCTGATTAGTAAGTGCCCTTTTGGAATCTCTCCACTGCAACCCCCTTGCATATTCCACAGAATTTAAAATTCTCTTCCTCTTTTTCAATGCCACCTCGCAATTTCATACTTTTCTATTTGAACAGGACTGGGGAATCCAGCAGCAGAAATCTCACTTGGTGTATGACTGAAATAGCATAAAGATACCATGATCCTTTCCAATCCAGACAACGATAATGAAACTATAGTCACCAGTTTTGATTTTTAAAGATCCTACGTGAGTTAGGTGCTCAAATCTCATTTAACCCCAATGGGACATGGGTACCTAATTTTCTTAGGGTCCTTTGAAACCCAGCCACTGTGAACGCTATTCACTAAAGTCTCACCCTGACAGAGGCAAGTTGAAGGGAGAGAGGAATGCTTTTCTCTTATTCTCTAGATCCACCTTGTGCTCATTGAGAGCTCTATGGAAATAACTTGTGAAAATCATACTCATCAGTTTTGGGAACATTCCCTACTTCCATGGCAGAGCTTTCTGATGTAGATGCATCTAAAAAAAACAACAACAACACTAAACTTTGGCCCTTGTGGAGGGAGGTCTCATTTCAGTTTCAAGAGTTTTCACTTCTATTTGCTTTGTCTCCTCTATTACTCTGGCTCTACCAGGAAGCCAAACTAGGACTAATTTAGCCCTGGCTACTTACACAGAATCATATAAATGTAAGGCAGGAAGGGGCCTCGACAGGTCATCTAGTCCAGTTCCGTGCACTGAGGCAGGACAAAATATTATCTAGACTATCCCTGACAGGTGTTTTTCTAAACTGTTCTTAAAAGCTTCCTGTGTCAGAGATTCCTCAACCTCCCTAGGGAATTTATTCCTGTGCCTAACTACCCTGACAGGAAGTTTTTCCGAATATCTAGCCTGAATCTCCCTTGCTCCTGTCCTGTCCTCAGTGGTTAAGGGGAACAATTTATCAACCCCCTCTTGACAGCAACCTTTTACGCATTTGAAAACTGTTGTCATGACCCCCTCAGTTTTCTCTTCTCCGGACTCAATAAAGTGAACTTTTTCAATCTTTCCTCATAGGTCCTGTTTTCTACATGTTTAATTAGAAAATTAGTGTGTTGTTCTCCTCTGGACTTTCTTCATTTGTCCATATCTTTCCTGAAGTTTGCTGCACAGTGCTCCTGCTGAGGCCTTAACAGTGCTGAGTAGAATGGAAGTATTACTTCTTGTGCCTCGCTTACAGCACTCCTGCCATGTGCTTTGTGATTGCACATAATCTGTGTGCAAAAGGAAGCTCTTGCTAAATATTTCCGAAGTACAGTCCCAGACAATGAAAATTCCACCTCCCTACAGAGAAGGAGTCTCTCTTTATTTCCAGGAACTCACAATTACTCAGTGATAGCCGCCACACAGGACAGGAAATCTCTACAAAACTTTAGACTTTAAAGCTCTGGGGGTGGGCTGTGAATATTTGATCTAAGGACCCATCAGGAACTGTGTTCATAGAGATATTAGATGTGTCACCTAGAGACAATGAGGGTGGGAATTATTGTTTGCTCTGAAGGATTAGAAGACATGACCCCCAGAGATCTTGGCAAAATGCAGTAAGATAGATTCTTCCCTCATTTATTGATGGGTAAATCTATAGTAACTTCACAGGGTCCTCACAGGCTTTCTTCCTCTTGAGCCTGCACCCTGTGTTTAGGCTGGTATAATAAAGAATCTTCCACGCCTTCTTTTGCTGGATCACCCAAGTGTCTTTATTTACAGTGTTTGTGCAGTTCCCAGATCCCGCAACAGCTAGTGACCCACAGACCCTCCCCAGGGTCTCCTAGCTTTTGAGGCTTCCTTCTTTGGTAAGGAGACAGTGATACCACCCTCCTAGCTCCTCCCAGGCTAGCCTCCCCACTGAGGTTTGCCCAGGGCTTTTATAGCTCTCTCATGCCTCAGCCCAGCTGTCAGCACTTAGCTCAGCATGTTCCTCCGAGCCAGATCTCCTTAGGGCTTGCAGCTGGGCTCCCTGCTGAGTACCTGTGTCTCTATCCCTGGCCTCCTGGCCAGAGAGAAGGCTGCAGCCAGCATTTTGGCAGGGCCTTAAAGGGCCCCTGCCATGCCACATAACTCCAATGACTTCCTCTTCCTAACATATGCCACTGTTGCAGAGAATAGCATATGACTACAGAATGCCAAAGTCCTATAAGCTTCAGTATTCTCTCTATATATAAAAAGAAAAGGAGTACTTGTGGCACCTTAGAGACTAACCAATTTATTTGAGCATAAGCTTTCGTGAGCTACAGCATCCGATGAAGTGAGCTGTAGCTCACGAAAGCTTATGCTCAAATAAATTGGTTAGTCTCTAAGGTGCCACAAGTACTCCCTTCTTTTTGTGAATACAGACTAACACGACAGTTACTCTGAAACCTCTCTCTATATATAGGTTTAAAGCCAGAAGGGACCATTAGATCACCTAGTCTGATCTATTGCATAGCATAGGCCACACAATTTCATCCAGTTACTTTCACCGAGCCTGGTAACTTGTGTTTGACTAAAGTATCTCTTCCAGAAAGGCATCCAATCAGACTTTGAAGCCAAAGAGATGGAGATTCCACCACTTCCCTTGGGAGTTTGTTCCAATGGTTAATCACTCTCATCATTAATAGGTGTGCCTTATTTCTCACTTTGATTTGTCTCACTTTAACTTCCCGCCATTGCTTCTTTTTATGCCTTTCCCTGCTAGATTCAAGAGTATGCCTGTATTTTATCACTGTGAAAGTGCACCGGACCCTCACTAGAACGCAGGGTCGGGATCCATGAGTGATACCACATTAACGTGGGGACAGCATTATAGTGGAGGCCACGTTACCATGGATCCCAATTTAAATATTTAAATTTGGGATCCATCGCCAGGACCGCACTATATACAAATCCGTGCTATAGTGATGCGCGCTCTAGTGAGGGTCTGCTGTATTTAAACACCATAATCTAGTCACCTCTTGGACTTCTTTTTCATATATTAAACAGACTGAACTCCTTAAATTTCTCACTGTATAAGACTTGGCATAATTTTTGTGACACTTCTCTGCATTCATCTCCAATGTTTCAGTGACCCATTTTCAAATATGGACACCAGAACCAGAGACAGAATTCAAGTATCAATTTCAGGCAGTGGATTGGGAATCAACTCAAGCCAGTTCTACTCCTGCCTTTGCCAAAAGTTTTCTAGGTGATATTTGAGAAGTCACTTAGGCTGGGATTTGTAAGGGATTAAACACTCATATCCCACTGAACATCAATTTTAATTTGTTGAGATACCTTTGAATTTCCCAACTTTATTTCTCATTGAACCTCAGTTCCCCACCCTGAATTTTTGAAAGCTTCTCAGATACTTTGGTGGTAACCATCAAAGAGTTGCCTATATTATTTAAGAAACAGGAGCTTCCCAGGAGGCTTTGGTTCTGAGCACACACTTAGAAAACAGAGAACATGAGCATTACTCATGAGACTATATCATTAACAATCTGGATATGATTATCCTCTCAAGCAGGAGCAGATCAGAAGCAATTCCACTGTTGGTAGTGCTAGTCTGAAAATGTGTTAGCGCTCTCTTTACTTGTAAGGGGTTTCCTGATCAGGCTTGTAGGCTATTGGGCTCTAAGGGAGGCATGTGATCTAGGTTTTTAAGCAGTCATTCTGAATAAAGCCAGCCTAGATCAAGGTGGGGAGAGTTTTGCCTCTCTGTTTTAGGGGGCAGCCTGCTTTTTCTCTCTCTGTTTTTATTTCCTGAGTATTGAGGTTCTGGATTTTTTTAAAAAATAATGTAATATTACACTGCAACCTTCCAGCAAGAGTATTTAATGTTTTTATCCAACTTCTCTGTTTGAATGCTATGAACATAAAAGCAGTTACAGCTACAGGGTCAGAGCAAGAGATCCAGAATTATACACACCTACCTGGTGAAAAGCCACCTGGTGAAGCTCCTGCTGGCTCACTCTGCAATGAGCCTTCCATATCACCTGAAAATGTCATAAGGATTTCCAGTCATTTCACACAGCCACAGACAACAATATAATAATTTAAGAACCAGTATTCAGGTTACAATGATGACATTTGCTAGTAACAGAAGGACAAAAATATTAGTTGAGCTACAGCAGAATTGAGTTCCCCTTCTGCTACTGCTAATCTGGGGTTGCTTCCACATTTTTTCCTTTTCCAAAAATTGAAAAATTATCCTTTACTGTGTGTCCACATTGCAAAAATCAGTGTTAAAAAGTGTTATAATTACATGCTATCACTTTCCTTGTAAGAGGTTTCCTGGTCATATTTGCAGGTTAAAGGACTTTGAGGGAAGCATGCAATGTGGGTGTTTCAGCACTCAGTCTACAAAGAGGCAGCCTGGAGCAAGATGGTTGAGTTGTGCCAGCTTGCCTTAACAAGCAGCCTGCTTTTTCTCTCTCTGTTTTTGTTTCTTGTGTGGAAAGGTTCTGCATTTTCAGAAAAACATGGTGATACCTCGCAACCTTGGAGCAAAATTATGCAATTTTTAATCTAACTTCTCTGTTTGAATGCTATGAACATAAAAGCAGTTACAACTGTAAGGTCAGGGTGAGAGATCCAGGAAGATATACACTTACCTAGTGAAAAGCCACCTGGTGCAGATCCTGCTGGCTTACACTGTAATGCACCTTCCATATCACCTGAAAATGTCATAAGGATTTCCAGTCATTTCACACAGCCACAGACAATAACATAAACATCTAAGGGCTAGTTTAAACTGAAAACCTAGGTCAGTTTAGCTACTTCACTCACAGGTGTGAAAAATTCACACCTCTGAGAGATGCAGTAAAATGACGTAAGCCCCAGTATAGACACAGGTAGTTTGATGGAAGAATTAGCCTAGTTACCTCCTCTCAAGGGGGAACACTAACTACAATGATGGAAAAAACCCTTCCATCGGTCCAGGAAGTATTGACAAGACAGCACTACAGTGACACAACTGCAGTGCCATAGCTATGCCATTTTAACATCTGTAGATGTGTAGACAAAGCTTAAGAAACAACACATAGAGTACAATGAAGATATTGTCAAGTAGCCCAAGGACAAAGCTGTTAGTTGAAATGCCTCAGGATAGATTCTTTCCCCTCCTTCCCTACCTCTAGTCTGGGATGTCTCCACATTTTGCCATTTTTTTTTTTTTTTTACTTTTCATCTGAAAAAAAAATTATTCCTTCCTCTGTGTCCACATGGCTACAATCAGGGCTTGTCTACATTATCCGCTGCATTGGCAGGCAGTGATTGATCCAGCAAGGGTCGATTTATCGCATCTAGTCTAGACGCGATAAATCAACTGCCGAGCACTCTCCCGTTGACTCTGGTACTCCACCAGGGCGAGAGGCGCAGGCGGAGGCGATGGGAGAGTGTCAGCCATTGACTTACCGCAATGAAGTGCGGTAAGTAGATCTAAGTACGTCGACTTCAGCTACGTTATTCATGTAGCTGAAGTTGCGTAACTTAGATCAATCCCCCCCGCCCTCTTAGTGAAGACCAAGCCTCAGTGTCCAAACTTTATTATTTCTCTTCTCAACTACTGCAGCCTTTTCCTCTATTGTCTCACAAAAACATTCATTAATCCACCTATGGTTGGACCAAAATTCTACCCCAATATCATCTTCCTCATTGTCTGGCAAGATGGCCACATCACCTCGAGGGCTGTTTGAAAGTTTTCTGTCAAAACTATTTTTAAATAGTTTTAGCTGCAAAATTAGGCTGTGGGGAGTTTGGGTTGTCGGGGACATTATTATGAATATCCCCAAAATGTCAATGAAAACAGAAATGTTATATATTTAAAATAATTCCATTTAATCAAACAGTTATTTTTCACACACACACACACACATACACACACACACAACAAGGTCTAGTTTGTTGATTAGCACCATAATGAATTCCATAAATAAAAAATTCTATATTTACAAAATGGTTTCTTCTTTAGCCATCATCCTGGGGCTGGTTTTGTTCAAAATCTTTATTAATGATCTGGATGATGGGATGGATTGCACCCTCAGCACTAAGCTGTGGGAGAGGTAGATACACTGGAGGGTAGGGATAGGTTCCAGAGTGACCTAGACAAATTGGAGGATTGGGCCAAAGTAAATCTAATGAGGTTCAACAAGGACAAGTGGAGAGTCCTGCACTTAGGATGGAAGAATCCCATGCTCTGATACAGGCTGGCTAAGCAGCAGTTCTGCAGAAAAGGACCTGGACATTACAGTGGATGAGAAGCTGGATATGAGTCAACAGTGAGCCCTTGTTGCCAAGAAGGCTAACAGCATATTGGGCTATATTAGTAGGTACATTGCCAGCTGTCAAGGTTCCTTCCCCACCCTGAACTCTAGGGTACAGATGTGGGGACCTGCATGAAAACCTCCTAAGCTTACTTTTACCAGCTTAGGTTAAAACTTCCCCAAGGTACAAATTAATTTTACCCTTTTCCCTTGGAATTTCCACTGCCACCACCAAACTTTAACTGGGTTTACTGGGAAACGTAGTATGGACACGTCTTTCCCCCCAAAATCCTCCCAACCCTTGCACCCCACTTCCTGGGGAAGGTTTGGTAAAAATCCTCACCAATTTGCATAGGTGACCACAGACCCAAACCCTTGGATCTTAGAACAATGAAAAAGCATTCAGTTTCCTTACAAGAAGACTTTTAATAGAAGTAAAGGAATCACCTCTGTAAAATCAGGATAGTAGATACCTTACAGGGTAATTAGATTCAAAACATAGAGAATCCCTCTAGGCAAAACCTTAAGTTACAAAAAAGACACACAGACAGGAATAGTCATTCTATTCAGCACAGTTCTTTTCTCAGCCATTTAAAGAAATCATAATCTAACACACAGCTAGCTAGATTACTTACTAAAAGTTCTAAGACTACATTCCTGTTCTGTCCCCAGCAAAAGCAGCATACAGACAGACACAGACCATTTGTTTTTTCTCCCTCCTCCCAGCTTTTGAAAGTATCTTGTCTCCTCATTGGTCATTTTGGTCAGGTGCCAGCGAGGTTACCTTTAGCTTCTTAACCCTTTACAGGTGAGAGGATTTTTCCTCTGGCCAGGAGGGATTTTAAAGGGGTTTACCCTTCCCTTTATATTTATGACACGCCCCCCAAAATCTCAGCTAGGGTGAAATGCTGGCTGGGATTTCTTCCTGGAGCTCTAGGAAAAACAGAGTTAATAAGACACATGCACCTCTAAATATACTACCAAGTACATAAAGACTAACAATATTTTCCACATCTCAAGGATGATTGTAACCAGTTGATTCTGGGAAATTTTCACGGGAGAGTGCATCAGCCACTTTGTTAGAAGCTCCTGAGATGTGTTGGATGTCGAAATCAAAATCTTGGAGAGCTAAACTGCACCGAATAAGTTTTTTGTTATTTCCCATGGCAGTATGAAGCCACTGTAGTGCAGCATGGTCGGTTTGTAGGTGGAAATGCCGTCCCCAAACATATGGATACAGCTTTTCCAGGGCGTAGACAATGGCATAACATTCTTTTTCACTGACTGACCAGTTGCTTTCCCTCTCAGACAGTTTTTTCCTGAGAAACACTACAGGGTGGAATTCTTGATCAGGTCCTTTCTGCATTAAAACTGCTCCCACACCACGCTCGGACACATCTGTGGTTACTAGGAATGGTTTGTCAAAGTCTGGGGCCCTTAGTACAGGGTCAGACATGAGTGTCGCTTTAAGCTGGTTAAAGGCCTTCTGACACTTTTTGGTCCACTGAATGGCATTTGGCTGTTTCTTTTTGGTTAGGTCTGTCAGTGGGGTGGCGATTTGGCTGTATTGCGGTACAAAATCGTCTGTAATAACCGACCAAGCCTAAGAAGGATTGAACCTGTTTCTTTGACTTTGGGACAGGCCACTTTTGGATAGCATCCACTTTGGCCTGTAGGGGGCTGATAGTTCCTTGACCCACCTGGTGTCCAAGGTAAGTCACTCTGTTGAGGCCTATTTGACACTTCTTAGCCTTAACAGTTAGTCCTGCCTCCCTTATGCGCTCAAGGACTTTTTGTAGATGTTCCAGGTGTTCTGCCCAGGAATCCGAAAATATGGCCACATCGTCAAGGTAGGCGCTAGGAGACCATCTACAAGTCTTTGGAAGGTGGCCGGTGCATTTCGCAGCCCGAAAGGGAGGACATTAAATTCATACAGCCCGAGATGTGTGGTGAAGGCTGACCTTTCCTTGGCGGATTCATCTAGCAGTATTTGCCAGTACCCCTTGGTTAAGTCCAAGGTAGAGATGAACTGGGCCCGTCCCAGTTTCTCTAATAGTTCATCTGTTCATGGCATGGGATAGTTGTCTGGGCAAGTTACAGCATTTAGCTTACGGTAGTCCACGCAAAAACGTATCTCCCCATCTGGTTTGGGAACTAGAACCACTGGAGATGCCCATGCACTTCCAGAGGGGCGGATTACCCCCATCTGTAACATATCCTGGATCCCCTGTTCTATAGCAGTTTTAGCTTGAGGAGACACCCGGTAAGGTTGGACTTTAATTGGGTGAGCATTACCTGTGTCAATGGAGTGGTATGCCCGTTCAGTCAGTTCTGGGGTGGCTGAGAACGTTGGCACGTAGCTAGTGCACAGCTCCTTGATCTGCTGTCGCTGCATACGCCCAAGGGTCATGGAGAGGTTCACCTCTTCCACACCACCAGCACTTTTCCCTTCGTAGTAGACACCTGCAGGCCACTCAGCGTTGTCTCCTCCCTGGGCTGTAAACTGACAAACCTTTAATTCTCTGGAATAAAAGGGCTTTAGAGAATTAATGTGGTACACCTTAGCCCTGGTGTTGCTTAGAGCTACTGCTTCCGGCCATCGGGTGGCAAAATCCATGAAAGTCAGTATGTACTGCTTTCCTCTGAGTGTCTTTTTTGGAAAAGGACCCAGAATATCCACAGCTACTCGCTGAAATGGAACTTCAATGATGGGGAATGGCTGGAGAGGGGCT